TCTCTTGATAACAGCTTTTCTCAGTCTGGCAGATGAGCTGGGCTACCACATCATCTGTGGACATTTTGGCCCATAGCTGTGCTAGCTGGAATTGTTAGGAGAAGTACTCCAACATATCCATAGTTATTATGGAAAACACCCAGATTTCCTTATTACATTGCAATAACAGTTGGTAATTCACAAAGCATATTTGACTCTTAATTGACAATATGGAACCCTGCCTCAACTAGACCTCCAGAATTCTCTGATGACGCAATTCTTTTTGGCATAATTCAAAATGCTTGTCTTAATCTTTAAGACTCAAAGTTATGGACTATGAAATAGTGAAACTCTAGATGCTGTTGGACTACACCTCCCATCATCTCTTTCAGCCATGCTTGCTAAGACTGATGTGACTTGAAGTCCAACAGTATTTGCAGAAAATCTCCTGCCCTCAGCAGTTTAAGCTAGGTGACTTGAAGGACTGGCTGTTCCCCATTTCAACTTGCCTGATCTTTAAGATCATCTCCAGAGATCACGCTCAGAATGTAGCCATCTTCTAAAAATAGCTGTTGATAACGAAGTCTTTATGGTTCTGGGACTTGCTACTGGGCATTCTGTCCGTTCACCAGTCTCCCACTTTACAGAACATTAGAAGGAACATATAGTGCAGCTGCTGCTTTTTATCTTAGCGCTTAAACATGGTTTTCATATTGCTATGGCTCCAAAGAATAAACTGTTTATTTTTTCTTTTTGGTTACTCTTCAGGGTTTATACAGCATGTTGATCAAGAAAGAGTTGGTTCAATATTTCCTCTCCTGCTTCCCTTAGATTGTTTTACACAAATCTCCAGAGAAGCTTGGAAACAAAGCTTTCAGTTTCTCCTGGATACACAAAAATTTATCAAGAGTTATCCCACTTCAGCTTAGGATCTGGGTTTGGGCAGAATCCATAGTAGGAAAACTGATTGTTTTGTTAATACATGCAATTTTGATCAAGGCTAATAGGGAACTGTATTTTACAGAAGCATTTTGAATGTTTATAGTAAGAGTCACATTCTGTTAAGTAATCTCCTGTGGCATTCTTTCCATAAATTTGCTGCAGTGAACTTTACTTCATTTAGGACAAGGTAGAAAGAAAACGACTAAGCTCTCTTGTTCTTCAGATTAATGGCTGCTCAGACTAAGGAGAAAGAGATACTTAGTTCAGGCAGAATGAACTAGACTTCCACCAAACCTAATATTTGACAGCAGTGGCATCCATGGGAGGGTCAAGGGGAAGCAAATAATGATGTATGTGAGATGACATTATTACACAAATGATGCAAGTTATCTGTTTGCATCAGAGACCATGATACAAATACAGAATTGCATCAGATGCATGATGACATCGTGACTCATCTAACATCATTTTGACATAACTATAGCTTGTTACCAGTGTTACTGTTTCATAAGAATGCTACTTAAATAGGAGAAGGTATGTTGTAAAGTGGAAGAGAAGGTAAATAGGAAGCACTTTTTTGTTCTCATGACAGATGAAGCAAGAAAAATATTGATCCACGATAAATTTTTGTAACAATGTATATACAGTGAGGGGGGAACCCTCACAATTGGTATTGATTAAATAAATAGAAACTTACTGCACAAATTTGCATATGAAAGTTGCAAATTTTTAATAGAGGAATGTGAAAAGTGCAACTATTTTAAAGTTTGTTGCATGAATTTATGAAGAGCCTCTTATTTTAAAGATCATTCGTGTGCAACATACAGCTCGAATATGAGCCAGATTATTGAAAGAGACTGACTGGTTTTGCCCTGAAGCATACACAGAATATATGCAGGGCAGAGGAAATGGATACCAAAGTGTTGATCAGGCTGGATGCCCTAGAGTGCAGAAGTTGCTTTTTTTTTTTTTTCAGTCAGCCTGGAATTTCCTATAAGTTAGAGGTGCAGTTAATCTGCTCTACAAGATAAACTTCTGTGGTTAGTAAAAACCATACATACAGAGAAATTAGTAATACCATGATTTTGAAGATTTAGCTGTCACCTCCCACTTATTTTTAAACTTCATCCATCTCCTGATTATCCTGAGGACATTATGCAAACAGTTTCTTCTTAAATTTATTAGGAGGATATTCAAACAAGGAGAAAGAAAATGCCTGCTGTGGGAGGAAAAAAATTGAAGTTATTCATGTATGGTAAGGAGAAAAAATACAAATAAAATCCTCACCAAAATGATGCAAACAATCAAAGGACATTTTAAAAAGTACAGATATTTTGAATGTCTTAATTTAACTTAATGTCATTTTTTAATTTATATAAAAAAGCTAAAAATACTTTTTCTGACCCACGTTCATAAAATGAGTGTCCATTTATGATAGCATAGATTACATTTAATACCCAAATGTGCATGTATTTGGGTATATGTACCTAAAAATGAACCAAATGAAACTTCAGTTTATCTGCATTGCAGTTCCTTGACAGGATACCACTATAATGTGTACGTAAATGCAAAACTCCATCTGCATTCTTAGACTAGTATGTCTAGCTAAAGTTAATTTAAAGCCGACATTTATTAATAGCAGTTCTGGACCATGAATGTATCTTATAGGATGGTAAACCTTCTACAGATTGTCTAAGAGTTAGGATTAATCTAATGAGCACTGTTTGCCAATAGGTTCAGGATAAACAAAATATTTCTTCATGCAATGCTTAACTGATTTTTAGAACTCATTGGCACTAGAGAATAGTGGGAGTAATTGACTTTGATTTGGATTAATGATTTCTTAATGTTTATGTCACAAACTGATGAACAAGTATGTGCATTTCAAAATAGGTTTAATTGCAAGTATGATGGCATGCTCTTTAGCTTATCCTCAGTTGTCCCAAAGTATTATGGTCCTTCAAATGACTCTTTTTCTCTCTCTCACACACCCTGCCCTTTATGTCTTCCTAGAACACTTGTATAATTCTGCCTTTTCCATATATCCCATCTTTTGGTGAGCCTTTCTGTAATTAAGCATATGTTACTGAAACAAACTCATAGTCTTGTCTTGTCTTTCCTACCTCCAGCTCTCTCCCCTTTCTGTTGTTTTCTCTGCAAAAAGATTGCAAGCTCTTTGGAACAGAGCACTGGTATCTTATATTTCATAAAACACTACACATACTGATGATGGATGTTTTGTAAAATAAGAACACAAGAGTAGCTTTGCTGGATCAGGCCACTGCTCATCTTAATCCACCATTTTATTTCTTAAGGAAGCCAACCACATGCTTTATGGGTATTCACTGGTAGGAAATGAATATTTTTCTTCTACCATGATTCCCCTACAAACTGGCACATGAAGCTAGGGAAAGACCCTTCTGGCCCTGTCCTCCACCTGTCCATATAGTAGTATCTGTGAATTCAGGAGAACTGCCAAATTGTGGACCTGCTGTCTCAGGAACTGCCAGACTATCAGCATCACGGTCTTTCAGATATTTGAAGACTGCCATCATCTTAGAGTTTTCAGTCATGTGGCATGGGCTGCTTAGAGTTTGTTCACTAGGCAGGATGCAAGCAATGTAACATTGATTAATTAATTAATTAAAAATAAGATATCAGTGAAGTAATAATTGGGGGTTTAGTAGAAAAACAGGCAACCGAATTCAGAAGTTCTTTATGAAGGATCTATCAATGAAGTATGGCACAGTGAACGATGGGCTAATAGACTTGAATATTTTATTCCGAAGCCATCACATTACTCAATTATAGTGGTGCCAATTTGTCCCACTCCAACCTGACTAAAGGCTGTTCAAGCATTTCTTACCATAAACATTCACTTCTTAGTTTTACATCTGCCCATAAAACATTGCTGTGGGCTGATCTATAGATGTGGTTTATCAGACCCAAATATAGAAAGTAAAAACTGAACAATTGTTGCAGATGAAATTCAAAGACAGCAGTGTTCATAATTAGGTTGCTTCAATTGCATACTTTCTAGTGGACTAAAGTAATGTTGTGCCTGGATTACAAAAATGATGTGATCAGTGAAATGCTAAGGGTGTTTTTTTCTAAATCCAGTTAACGTTTTCACTCAAAGAAGAAGCTACTCTAACAACTTTAATGACAAAAATTACAACAGGCATGGAGACCACTATCAGGAAAGGAAGACAGGAGGATACTATCATAGTTTAGGTTATTTCAATATTGGATGAAACTGGTATCATGAGAGTCCTTAGACATTGTGTTTTAGATGCCTTAGACTGAGTCATTGTAATGCATCCAACCAGGCTAAACTACAGTGAACATATGATGTACTATGCAACATCCGGTTTAAAAACAAGGGACCATGTCGAAGAAAAATAGCACTGATGATGTTTTATATGTTTAATGTAATGTACTTTTTAATTTATTCAACTCTGGGTGGCTCATAATATGACAAAGAAAATATTATTCAACACAATTCAAAAACCCAGCCAGCAAAAAAATAAATAAGTAAAAGCAGAGTAAAAAACAAGTGGCACATCTGGCCCAAAACAGAACTCACGAGGGGCTCCAGCCACCTTAGCTCATGGCCTGGGAGAAGAACAAGGTCTTCAACACCCTTCAGAGTGCTGTCAGGGTGGGAGCCACATGGATTGCCAGAGGAACTTCATTCCAGAGTATGGCAGCATGAGCGAGAAGGCATGCCTCCTGGGTTCTGAAAGCTGATACTGTCTAATTGAAGGGAACGTGCCAACCCTGTCAGTTCATATCAGCTGGATAGATGATGTATGCATGTGTGTGTGTATAGTGTTTTTTAATGGTGGTATCAACTTTTTAATTGTTTTTAATATTCTGCTTTAATTATCTTATTAGCTATTTTTAAGTCAAAAAATGAGCCAAAGTAATATCATATATAATTAATTACTTATATAATTAATATAAGATTTCCCAAATTGTAGTCTTTCATCCACACAAAAATGACCAAATATCATTATTTAAGCAAGATTGTTCATGATGTATCTTCAGATTGTGTCTTCAATTCTGTGTTCTCCTAGGGTATAGTTCTGCAAGCAGAGATGCGCAACATACAGTAGATAATACACTTCTGTATATTGAGGTGGATCCAAAGTTTCCAAAGAAGAAGAGCTATTTTACATTTCACATTAGAGCACAGTGCCAGAAGGAAAGAAATTCTCAAGAATAGCAGGTGAGAACTTTCATTAATTCTTGTACAAGTTAGTGAACCACAGTAAAATCTTCATTAAAACTTGTGGGTGCATTTATGGAACAGCACTAATGGTTATTTTCCTTTTCATGAGTGTCCTTTAAAACTAACCTGCTAAGGTTTCCAACAGCATCCCAGGAGCCACAGTGGAACAGCTATATTGTAGTGCACAGCCAAGAACCTCACTGCCCATGATGATCTCATCTCCCATCTTTCTTAGGAAAGGAGGACATTGACAGCCCAGGATGCTGCCTTCTCCCTTCCACTACAGCATTGGGCAGGATGTTGACTGATGCAGTGCTACTTCACCACTTCCTGATACCCTGTTTGTTTCCCTCCAACTTCTTTACCTAAAGAACCAAACCAATTTTTCTTTATCTTCAGTTGTCGTCCAACTGATTGACCTAACAATTTAAAAATAAACAGTGTACCTGTTCCTTAAAAGTAGCCTGGCACTCTCAAAGTGAACATCAAATGTTTTATATTGTTCCACAAGCAGAGATCTGTTGATGAATGATTCAAAATGGTTCAAAGGGTTGCTTTTGGAATGACTTGATAGTTTACTCTTTCATCAACTCAAACTAATCCAAGAGAAATTAAGAAATGGTGCTTTTGCATCTGTGTCTATAAACAGTTTTGTTCTGGAAAGGTACCAGGTACCGGTATTAGTTCACATTGGTTTGTAGTTCATCTTTGTCTGCCTCATTCACTGGTCTATAATCGATAATGACATTTAATTAGGCAGATACATACTTAGCTTCAAAAGGAATTCATTCTGGTGCCTTAATTAAAGGACAGAAATCCATTAAAATATAAATGCCTACAGCCCCAAAGGCAAATGAGAAAGCCATCTCTTCTGATTCCAGGTTCATTTGCTTTTCCTTATACTTTTTCTTTTCCTTAACTTTTTAGAAATTAAAGTTACAGGATTATGTCTACAAACTAGTGCTAAAGTGCTGGATTTGGAAAGAGGAGACCCAGAGTTAAGTTCCCATAGAGCTTAATTCAGTGACTTTGGGTCCACTCACCCATTCTCAGCTAACTGGGGCTGTTGCTGTGGACATAAAATTAGAAGAGAATCCCTATATTGTACATGCCCTCTTGAGCTCCTAGAGAAAGGTTCACAATACAAAAGCACTTCAACCTATCTTTCCCAGATTATGATTCATGCACTGAATGGTATTTGTAACATTTCTGTTAAACAGTAGTCAAATGTGGGGGAACCTGCCAGGAGCAAGTTAAGTTACATCTCTTCCCTTCATTTCGGAAACAGTGATGAGAATCGCTACACTCATACTTCCTGCAAAATTTAAAGTCTTCTAGGGAGATAAAATTTTGGCTTAGCTATATGTTTTCTATTATACTGTATGATAAAGTCTCTTCCAGAACAGAAACATGGATTTATGTATCCAAAGCTTTCCATGCTAGTTGATCACTCATACTGTATGCCTCTTAAAATCATGGAATCATAGAGTTGGAAGTAACCTAAAAGATCATCAGATCCAACCCCTGCACACTGTAGGATTTACTGCACCATCCCTGATAGATGACTATCCAGCCTCTGATTGAAAATCAGGGAGTATAAGTTGCATTGCACTTGTATCCTTTTCATGGACTTTCTAGAGGTACCTGGGAATAGTGGAACAAAAGGCTGGTTTGAGTAGTCTTTTGTTCTGATCCATTATGAGTGGTGTTCTGATCCCAGCAGCAATAGATACAAATTCTGATTAGCTGAGAGGGAAACAAATCCTATTTTTTATCGTTCTTCCCCCCCCCCCCAAATTTCTCTTGAAAATGCTTTCTATAATGTAAGCCAAGTTTTTTCTTGGAAATGGAAAGAAGGGCTTACACTCTACAAACTTCAGCTCAGAAATGTAGGCAGGGGAAAAGGAAGGTGAAAGTGGAAAATCAGCTAAAGCTAGCAAGAAAAGCAACATCCTTTGAATATGTTGAAGAATATGTTGTCAACATATGTCAAATATGTTGAAGAAATATGAGGAACACAAAGGAGGTAAAGGGCTCACTGATAACTCCAAATGGAGAAATCTTAATAGATGATCAAGAGGAGCTTAAATCCTATTTTGTCTATAACTAAAGGAAATGGTGATTTAAGTAGCTTAGATTGGGAACAAACACAGAGTTCAATTAAATACAAGGAAAAACTTTCTGACAGTAAGATCTGTACAATTGTGGAACAGTTTACCTTGGGAGGTTGTGGGTTCTCTATCTGTGGATATTTTTAAGAAAAGGTTAGATAACTACCTCTTGAGGATGGTTTAATGGGTCTTCCTGCAAATTTCAGGATGTTGAACTAGATGATTCTTGCAGTGCTTTCCAACTCCTCGGTTCTTTGATTCCTTCCTATATCTATTCTGGGAACTAATTGTCAGATCTTTCTAGTATTTTGCAGACAGGTTTAAAATTGCCGTACAATGTTTTTAATTAATACACAACCCTCAGCTATATTTCAAAAGCTCTTTGTAATCAGTTCAGACCTCTAGCAAGAAAGATCTATCCCTTGTCTGACAATCTATTGGCTGGAGAAAAAGACTAAGAAAGCAAGGGGAGAATTTCAGAGAGAAAGAGAAAAAGGGAGGTGATCTCATCCACATTTGACTCTGGTTCAGACAGCCCAGCTTTGACTCTATCCATCCCATTCCTATCCTTAAACACACTTGAGGCAGTTGTATATTCCTATACAGAAAAGGTATCTATAAATCTGCATAATCTTTAAGTGATATGAGTATTTTAAAATTTACTACGAACTTGCAAAGATTTTTTTAAGAAAAAAAATCACTCTAGTTCTGCATAAGAACTTGCTGATAAATCTGGCAAGAGCAAAAGTCAGCTCTTTGAGTCTACAGAGTGCCGTCATCAAAGGAGAAAAAAAAAAAACAGGTTATGGATGTAATTTATAAAACTGAAGGAGCAGTAGAAATGAAGAACATTTGCTGCATATAGGATTATGAAGTAATTGTCCTGGTGCCAATTGAGGAGTAAGAGTAAGTAAGAGTTAAGGCTGAGCAGCTAGGCCTAAAGCCAGAACAGAGATAATCACATGACCCATGGTCTGAGATAATGTTATTAACCCAACTTTCATGCATTTGGCAATTAATGAAAAATGTGTATATTTCTTGAAGGCAGTATTTACCACAACCATCCATTCATTATTAAAATATAATTGTTGCTGCAGCATTTAAAAATAGGCAAGGTGTAATTAATGAATATAAATAACATGTTAGCTATTTTGCTTTCTCAGTCATGATGTCTAAGAGATGTTTTCTCCAGAACAGTATTGGGTGATAAGGTGGCTTAGGAATACAGGAATAACCATACGTATGAGATATGAGGGATGCACAGAAAAAGTTTCTTATAGTTCTGGGCAATTATATTGATATGACTTATGACAAACTGTCCATGAGTATAGATAGTCGCTGCGCGAAGCCTAGAGGTCTTCTGGTATGGGTTCTGCAAATCGGATGTAATAGTTCAGCCTTTTCAACTTGAGTATGCTTCAGGTATATGGACTTTAACTCCCAGAATTACCCTGGCAGCATAGCCATTGATCAGAATTCTGGGAACTGAAGCCTATACTTCTGGATAGAATTATCAGTTTGGGGAGGGTTAAGACAGGATGCCACAGGACAAAGGCAATGCCCTCTGGGAATGTCTAGGAATTCAGCAAGGAACAATTGGTTTGTGGTCTTTTTCCCAGGAGAGATCTGGCAAATTGTGTGAATGAAATTCCTTTTTCAGAAGCTGCTGCATAGTACCGGGCTATAGACATATAAAAATAGAATCTAGCTAGTGCTGCAGAGATTTTCAACTCCAAGTGACAGGCAGACATCTAGCACAGCTAATCCTCTTTTGATATCTTCTGTAGAGCTCTCTGACAAGGGAGTGTGTGCAGGACAGGAAGCGCCTGTCAGGATTCAGCTTTGGCTTAAATCATTCTAGTGTAAGTGAAGGAAAACCAAGAACTGTCATCTTCTTCATCCTGAAGGCTTCATGAACAGGGCAACCACCCCATGCTTATCATACATAATATAATTATTTTTCTTTCTGTGATTTGATGAGAGTCAAGACATTTGGCAAGAAAAAGCAGATAGAGCAAAAATGCAGGATTTGTGTAAGCCACACAGCTATTTAATTGGAGGTAGAGGTTTGGCTACATGTATGGAGACAATTCTGACACCCAGTGGAAACTATGGCTGACTTCCTCCAAAGCTTCTTCACGTTGCCAATAATGTTGCTTCTCTGTTAATGAAAAGTAATAGAAAATAGATGTAGTAATCTACGGGAGGAAGAGGAACTTATTTGCAATTGGGGACACATTTCTTCTTTTTCTTTTTAGCTTCTAAGGCAGTGTTCCTCAACCTTGGCAATTTTAAGACAGGTGGACTTCAACTCCCAGAATTTGGGAGTTGGGAGTTGAAGTCTACCTGTCTTAAAGTTGCCAAGGTTGAGAAACACTGTTCTAAGGGCTACAACAGACATTATGAGAATGCCACTGGAGGGATGGGAACGAAATGTTCACATGTTTATTTGGGATGCAGGCCTAGAAGCATGAAAAACAAAGTCAGGGTATTTTAAGGCAAAGCAGGGATATGCTATGCTTGTATAAGCTCTGAAGTATGCCTAGGTACGTCCATGAACATACACCATGCTGTTTCTTATTGGGATAAGCAATATAAGGCTGGATGCAGAGGAGTAAGGTATAGTAAGCCAAAGAAATCAGAGGCATGAAATAAGAAAAAGGAAGGAAACATAGCTAAAGGAAGCATATAGGGCTCAACTCAACATACCTATTTTCAGTCCTGCGTTCATAAAGCTGCAAATTGTACTTCAGAAACCATTTGGCTCCATGTTTTGGCAGCATAAACCTGAGAGCTTTAAGGGATACAAAAATAAAGTTGTGGAGCCTCAGTGTGATTTATGGCTTGCCCCCCTCCATGTAATATTTATTTAAATGCTGA